CGTGTGTGTGTGTGTGTGTGTGTGTGTGTGCATGTACCTATTCACACACAATCCTAATATGTTTAAGCGATTTCTCAAGACTCATTTGTTTACTTCTTAGTTGTAGTGTGTTCGTAAGTGCTGATATGTTTTGCTTTCACTGTGGTCCTTACGGGTATAAAAATAATGTATGGTTGAGAAAGTTCTTCTTTATATGGTTGAACTGGTTTTCTTGTCACAGAGAAATGTTTTATCTTGTGTGAATGAAGTATTACACTCAGTAATCATGTCATCGATGTAAAGCACTCAAAGCCTATACTCCTATGGGATAGAGCGCTATATAAATGCAATCCATTATTACCATTATTATTATCATTGTCATTATAATTATTATATTATTACATTTTATCATTGAGACAATATATGCTTGATGGGACAGAAGGAGCAAACCACACTAGATCACCAACCAACCAACTAACCAATCACCCACAAACAGAGTCAACTCAAAGCAGCCCACCTCCTCCTACACTAAACAGGGTCGATGAGGACGTAAAAACATCTTAGTGGGTGATTGGAGGGTGCTCTGGCATGGTTTGCTTCTTCTTTCCTATCAAACATCTATCGTCCTTATCTCCCCTTCTTCTTCTTAATGTTTATTACTCTCTTGTAACACCTCTAATCCTCTGGTGCTCATATGACCTAATGCAGTTGCGAGCGCCAAAAAGAAAAACCTCTACTAAGACTAAACTAAACTTTTTAAAAAATCTCAACAACAAGAACAAGAAAAAGTCCACTCACGACTCCCTGATTTTCTCCAGCATAGACAGAGCTCGGATCAGACTGTCCTTGAGCGCCAGCTCCGACGCGTCCTGCCGCATGCGGTCCATCACAATGTCCAGGTTGGCTTCCTTCTCCTGTGCCATGATAAACCGCATTGACTTTTAGTACGAGTTCCACGGCACTTGCAACACAATTGCGTCATATTACTATATGTGCTGAAGATTAGGTTAGTAATAATAGTAATAAACAGCATTTATGCTGCGCTTTCACATTTTCTAAAAAGTGCTCAAAGCCCATTACGTTAATAAAAATATCACAACTTAAAAATTAAGGGACATGTGTGTACGTATTACATTGTATTATGCATATATATGTACATGAATAAAAATGTTAAAGTGAGTAGCAAAAGAGTAACAAACACGGTAAAGAGAAACACATTGACAAAACAATGGTTAAACAAACACAAACAAGCATAATATATGTTTGATAGAAAGAAGGAGAGATGAATACTTCAAAACCCCCATAAGGGATGGAAAAAATTAAATACAGTACAGTGGTCTCCACAATATACCCAAAGTTTGTAATGTTCTCTTAACTGTAGAAAATGCCCTGACGTGACATTAAAAAATCAGATCAAGTCATTTCCGTTTTCAGATGAGAGCGGCATGTCTAGATTCAGAGTCAGAAAGTTGCAATGTACTCTTTATGTGCAGCTACTTCTTTCGGTAAGCACTCAGAGCCTGTGTTCTTTAATCAAAGTAGAGTGCTATATTAATGTCACATACCATTATTATTATTAGTAAGATTATTATCAATAGTATAATCAATAATAGTAGTAGTAGTATTTTTATCTTTGAAACCGGGCGACCCCCACTTGCTTAAATCATAAATATCTCAACTTTTATTCAGGATAAATTGGTATTTATAAAATTGAAAGGGAAAAAAATCAAAAAGTTTCACAATGATACCAATAACACCACATTTCCAAAAATTGACAAGTGCCTGATCACATCCCCTTGTGACAAACACACACACACACACACAAACACGCGGCAGCTCCCCCCACCTGGTTGGTCTGATCGTGGTCCCTCCTACACGCCTCCAGCTTCTCCTGCAGAGCACGCTCCTGACGCGCCAGCCCGATCTCGTGCACGTCCCACAGGTGTGCCGCACCCTGGGAGAACTTGAACAGCGCTGTCAGCTCCTCCTCCATGCGCGCGTTGTGTTCTTCTGTCATTTTCTGTGGGGTCATCAAAATGGGAGGAAAAAAAGAGGGTTTTTTAGTTTTAGTAAGAGTTTTACGACACTTGCAACATAATGAGGTCGTATATGTGTCAAAGATTAGAGGTGTAGCAAGCGAGTAACAAACACAATAAAGAAGGAGGGGAGATAAAGACGACAGACATTTGATAAGAAAGAAGGAGCAGACCACACTAGAGCACCCTCCAACCACCCAGAAGAAAAAGAAAGAATGAGTGAGTCTTCATACAGTACAATGACAACAAAGAGAGACAAAAAAGAGACTGAATTACTGATGGACAGACAAAGGAATAAAATGTAAAAAAAACAGATGGCCAAACAGTCAGATGGACGGACGGATGGACAGACGGGCAGACGGACAGACGGACAGACGGACAGACGGACAGACAGACAGACGGACAGACGGACAGACAGACAGACGGACAGACGGACAGACGGACAGACGGACAGACGGACAGACAGACAGACAGACAGACAGATAGACAGACAGACAAAACAGACAGACAGACAGAAAGCTCACCTCCATCCTCTCCAGGTTCCTCTCAAAGACCCTCTGTTGCTCCCCCACCAGAGGCAGCATGAACTCATCCACCACCTGGCTCACACGGTGCTCCGAGCACACACCAGAGTTCAGCAGAGACACCTACGGGAGAGAAATAAATAAATAAATAAATAAATAGCATTTGTATAGCGCATATCCCCGCTCAACAGCAGGCTCTATGCGCTTTACATTATATTATTACCCCAGCAGACCATAGAACACTCCGAAACATTCTCAGCTTCCCGGGAAGCATACAGTGCAAGCAGCTGATTAAGCGCTCAAACACTAACAAACTGACAAGATCTTTCGCTGTCTATAGCCGGGTACCCATTCCCACCTTGGTGAAGTGAGGAAAATTCGTGTAAAGTGCCTTTCCCAAGGACACAACGTCGGGTCCCTGACGGGATTCGAACCCACGACCTTACGGTTGCGAGTCCATTATTTGAAGAGTGATTTTCCAAAACTCTGTAAGTCGATTTTGATGAGTCCCTGATTTCATCACGACATTTACAACATGCATTTGTATTGCGGTGAAATCAGGAGCTCGTCAAAACTGACTTACAGAGTTTGGGAAAACCACTCTTCATTTATGAGATGTTATAGTGGAATCAGGCTCTCGTCAAAATAATGACATCAAATACACTGGCATTTTTCAGCTGGTTTCGCAGTTTTTTTTAATTTTTAAAATTCATTTTTCTACTTCCCATCATCAGCCATTATGTTGATAAGTGTCACGACATGAGTAGTGGAATCGGGCGCTTGTCAATTTTTGGGCTTACAGAATTATTGGTATCATCTCAAAGCCTGTTCATAGGCCTTCCTTTTGATAATAAAAATATCGAAGAATGTTGAAAAGAAGTCGAAATATTTGCGATTGAAGATGGTCGGGGTCACCTGGTTTCAGGGTATGTTAAGTGAGGAAATGGCCGCCAAAGTTTGCTGACTTCCACAGCTTGAGAGTCCTTGGAAATATATATTTGCATTTTTTTTGTGCCTCTAACCAATGTATTTCAGTAAAATCCCAACAAAAATGTGCTTTTTAATGGACATAAAAGGTGTAGAGCCAAAAAAAAAAAGAAAATGAAAAAGACGGTCCCCAAAAGAGCCGATTTCTTTTATTTCATTATTTTGACGAGCACCTGATTTCACCACAATGCCTCGCATTATTATGATATTATTCATATGTCGGTAGAACCTACACTTCAATCGTGTTCCTACATTGTTGGAACAAATATTCATTCAGTCACCTTCCCACGTACACTCACCTTGATCTCCTCCACCTTATCCAGGCACATCTGACAGACGTTCTCATACTCTTCGTGCAGCTTGGCCATATGGATCTGTGTTATGTTGTCTGGGGAAAGAGACAGGAGAATACACTCACAAACGTATCAATATTTACAATACCATTGAAATTTTAGTCGCCAGGCCGTAGTATGCGCTCACTACCCCTGGCGACTTTAGTCGTCGACGCAACAAATCACACTAAACATAATTAAACAACGAACAGACACACTGCACTGAAGTAAATACCAAAGGAAGAACTCTATTTAATAGGTAAATAGTTGATGAACCTCTACAAATTTTTAAAGCGTGTTTCTTGGGCTACCAAGGCTTTTTTAAAGTTTTAAAATTTCGACCTCGACTTCAGCTTTCGAAACTGGTGCAGTACTTGAGGGTTTTTCACTATATGAGCCTTCAGTACTGTGAATGTTAATACAGTAGAACCTGCTCTACCGGCCACCTGTAATAGGGAATCACTTACACAGACAGCCACTACCTCCCCCCCCCCCCACCCCAAGCCTTCCAGAAACATGTTTGGATTTTTTTCCGGGGGGGGGGGGGGGGGAGGTTGTTCTGTTGCTTTTTTTTCCATTATAATGTCAATTTGTAAGACATCTGTCTGTCTAATTAATACAGCCACTTTCATCCTCGACAAACAGTGGTTGTCTTAAATGATTTCGACTGTACTTAAAAAATTAAAAGAGTCCACTTGTCAAATCGTTTCTTAAAAGCTTGGACTTGACTGGAAAAAGTTCATCTTTTGAGTCTGCTAAAAGCTCCCAGATGTGTGAACCTTTCTCAAAAGAATAAGTATATATCGAAAAAGCAAAAACGTTTTCCTTGTGTTCAAAGGATTAGACACATTTAGAAATTAAATCAATCTTTAAAGAACTTCAGTTTGTAAGAATAACTGTTTTAATTTTTTTTAAACATTTGTACCAATCACAGAAGCTGCTGTATTTTGTACTGCTAGCTGCATGACTGCAAAGCATTAACACTTATAACCTTTTTACAGCAGATTTTGGCGACAACTGAAAGTGACCAGATTTACTCACCCAGCTCAGCGGTCAGTTTCTTCACATCCTGTCTCCAGCGATACACGGCCGACTTGGTGGAGTTGGGCGGCTTCATGTCGCTGCACGGAATAAACCAGAAGAGAAATTTTAAACAGATATGTCATGACGCGGTGGAATCAGGCACTCGTCAATTTTTGGGCATGTGGAGTTATCGGTATCATTATAAAGTTCGTTCATTTGTCTTGCTCTGGATTTAAAAAATATCAATACAATATCTTGAACTAAAGTTGAGATATTTGCAATTGAAGGAAGTGGGGGATGCCTGGAGACAGAGATAAAATTAGCAAGAAAATGGCCGCCACAGTTTGGAGACTTCCAAAGCTTGAAAGGAGTCTTTCGAAACTGAAAATTTTCAATTTTTCTGCCTTTAATCAGCATTTTTCAGTAAAATTCACAAAGAATTATATTTTTAAACAATTACAAAAGGTGCTGAGCCAAAAAAAACACAAATTTGAGAAAAATGCCGGTTTCTTCGAGTTCGTTACTTCGACAAGGACCTGATTTCACCACATTGCCTCACATTTCAATTTTAGTAGAAGTTTAACAGCACTTGTAAAATGTGCGCTCATTTGACCTTATAAAGTTGCAAGAGACAAAAAATCCTTACAAACCAAATCAACTTGCAACAAAATTAGGTTATATAAGTGCCGAAGATTACAGGTGTTACTAGTTAGTAAAAAAGGTTTTAAGCCCCTGATTCCCTCACACACTAACAAACACACAGACAAACACAACACAACACATGCACACACATGGAAACACACAAACAAACATACACACACAGACAGAAACACACACAAACACACACACACTCACACACACACACACATAAACACACAAACAACACACAAACACACACACACACAAACTAACACACACCAGAAGACACATTAACACTGAAAAAAAACCAACTCCTCCTTACCACAGTGTCTTAACCAGATCTAAGTGCACACAC